GAGAACATTGTTTAGAGTTAGAAGAATCAACCTCTTTCCTAGCACCACCACACTGCTGACTCTGCTGTTACACCTGCAGCTCTAACTGGTACAGTAAGAACATTGCTGTTTGCAGGTGATAAATCACATTTCAAGTAATGTAGGAAAGCACTTTTCAACTGTGCTTGGCAATTATTTTTGCAGAGAATGGGGCAGGGGGAACACCTCCCTCCTCCCTTACCACAACAGTGACACTAGTTTTGTATTCTAGTTCAGTAGCTTGAGAACCATTCTGATGTGTGAAGCAGGAAGCAGTGTGGCTGTAAGGGATAGCCTTTTAAACATGGAATGGGACAATGTTTTGCTTCCTAGGAATCCACAATATTGTAATATGGGTTGCATCCCAATTATTTACTGCTGCATGTGCATTTTTTGAGCACATTGATTGGGGAACTACACTGCAAAATTCAGAAAAGTGTGTTTTTAGAAGGATGGCTGCATTTTGGTTCTTGTCTTGCTTTAGAAAGTATGGATTAAGTGGGTTCACCTTAAAATGGGAACTGAATTGAATTTCTTCCCCAACACTACTCAGAAGGAAATCCTATTGAATTCAGCTTTTGGAAGGAATTCTCAAGGTTTGAAAAAGATTTGCTGGAAAATAATGAAAAATTATTAACAAAAATGTATAAACTACTGTTGGAATGGGAAACAAAAGATGAACAAGTTAAAGATGCAATGGTAAAATGGGCAGTAATATCCCACTCAAGGATATAATGTCCCACTCGAGTCATGGGAAAGGCTGTGGAAGAAGGATCTAAAATTTACTGCATGTAGTTTGTTAAAGGAAAACTATAAGAAAATGATGTACCATTGGTACCTAACCCCAGTTAAGATTGCAAAGATGTATAAAAATTGCACCAAAACATGTTAGAAATGTAAAGATAATGATGGTACCTTTATGCATATGTGGTGGACTTATAGAAGGGCAAAAGACTTATGGGAAATGATTTATAATGAGTTAAAAAAAATGTTTAAGATAACCTTTCATAAAAAACCAGAAGCCTTTTTGCTCGGAATAGTGGGGGAAGAGATACCAAGGAATCTAAAGAGACTGTTTATGTATGCTACCACGGCTGCTAGAATGTTGTTTGCCCAAAAATGGAAAGAAGGTACACTGACGAAGCAAGAATGGATAACGAAGATGATACTATGCCGAAATGGCAAAATTTACTGTGAAGATCAGGCAACAAGACGAGAAGAAATTTACACAAGATTGAATAAAATTTATAGAATATGTTAAAAAACACTGTAAATATGTTAAAACATTAGCAGGGTTGTTGTAACATTTATGACGGGATAAATTTGAACAATTTATTTATTAATAAGGTTTGAAACTTCTAGAGGAAAAATAATGATATGCAAGATTATGACTGATTGAATTTGGAAGCCAGGGCGGGGGGGGGGCAGGGAGGAAGTCAAACAAGATGAATTTGATGAACAATGGAATGTAAAAATGTTGTTATCAATTTTTTTTTTAAAAAAGGAAATCCTATTGAATTCAGTTGAGTTTACTCCCAGGTTAGTGGGATTAGGACTGCAGCCCATGCTACTAAAAGCAGCTAACTCAGATAGCTGCCTGTAGGAAAGAAGTTTCACTTCTCTTTTTATCTGGGTTAAAAAAATTATGTAACGGAATAATTCATGTTCAGCCAACATCAGGCTGTTACCAAGGTTTCCTGTTCAAAACAAAAGTAAATTGTTTTCTCCAATTTTTTAGACAAGAGTAAGAGAAACAGACTGCATGCTAACATACAATTCCATACAAAAAGATGAAACAAATAGAATTTCATGATTTAAATAATGTGACCAGCAACTGTGCTTAAGATTGTCAATGCAGGAGAATACCAGACTTCCACACAAACCCATATCAGGCCAGTGAATTCCCTGGAATCTACAGCACGCTGTCAGTATCAATGTGGAACAAGAAAAACATGCAGTGGACTCATTTTGTATTGGCTTTTATAGTGAGGAATGCTTTCCTCAAAAGCCATGTGTTCAAGGGCATTTTCTTTCAATTCCTCTCCCCGTCTTTTCTTCTTCCCCATTTTGCACATTGAGAAAAGCTGAGAGCAGCCACCTGTGGCTCATTGCGTAGGAGGTCTAAGTACCATGGGGAGGGAGTGATAAAACCTCCCCACTTACCTTTGGGGTTGGCTCTAGTGCCAAGTTTCCTGCACAGAGCGAGGAGTTGCACTCGTTGGTCTAGGCAGAGCACTGGTTTTCAGCTGGCAGGTCAAATATGCAGGGGGCGATAAAGAAATGGATCCCAAAGTGCATGCTTGGGTTAAAGGTGAATTTATGTCTAAAAACACTGAAGACGACTCATCTTACGCACACATACCAGAGCAACAGTTTCAAGCACCACAAACACCTAATTTTAAAAACATTTTACTGTGGTCTATAAAGTATTGCTGATCTCTTTTAAATATAAGCTGCAACACTTGTTTTTTTGCATGTTGTTCCCACAGCTTCATCGGTTACAGCAGCAAAGGGGTTAATTCTCCTCTCCACTCCCCCTTTAATTTGGTATAGCTTTTCAAGAAGCAGTTGCCAAGCACAGTTCAGCCTGTGAGTTAAAGGAAGGAGAGAAAGAGCCTAATCTGCTCAGGTCTTATCTTGGGGCTAAAATACTTTACGTTCTTTATTGCAGACTGATTGATGGGGTTGTCTTGGCCAAGAAACCAGCCTGGCTCAGGCAAGGTTCCATTTTCTTCGCATGTATAAAATCTGGAGCTGTGCTGCTTCCACCTAGTGTACATCAGGCTGTATTACAAGCCCAGTTTATGGACTTTAAAAATTTACATGGCTAATATAAGTGACTTAAGTTCTCATGCACTACTTATGGTAATTTATGGACTGGACAGGTTAGAACCAGTTACCCCATGCTAAAGTGACCTCAGATCTAGATTGGTGCAATGTGCTCAGCACCAGACTACCTAGGAAAGTGTTCTGGAAGCTGCAGGATGCGGCTGGTAGGGTTGTAAACAAGTGACCCTGTTTGCCACATTCGGAACCACATAATACAGTGGTACCTCGGGTTACATGCACTTCAGGTTACAGACTCCGCTAACCCAGAAATAGTACCTTGGGTTAAGAACTTTGCTTCAGGATGAGAACAGAAATCGTGCCCTGGTGGCGCGGCAGCAGCAGGAGGCCCCATTAGCTAAAGTGGTGCTTCAGGTTAAGAATAGTTTCAGGTTAAGAACAGACCTACAGAACGAATTAAGTTCTTAACCCGAGGTACCACTGTACTACTTCTGAGTGTACAGTGGTACCTTGGTTCTCAAACTTAATCTGTTCCGGAAGTCCATTCCAAAACCAAAGTGTTCCAAAACCAAGGTGCACTTTCCCATAGAAAGTAATGCAAAACGGATTAATCCCTTCCAGACTTCTAAAAACAATCCCTAAAACAGCAATTTAACATGAATTTTACTATCTAACGAGAGCACTGATCCATAAAATGAAACCAATAAACAATGTACTGCAGACACACAATCAATCAATCAATCAGGAGCTGAACTGGGTTGCACACAGTCACAAAAACAAAACAAAAAGAGCCGCAAAAACAAAAACGCAAAATAAATAGCAAAAATTGACAGACCTCAGCATAACACTCAAAACGGAAGTGTGGCACTCAAATCAGAAGCATAACATTCAAAACAGAGCACATTCGGCTTCTGAAAAAAAGTTCTCAAACCAGAACACTTATTTCCGGGTTTGCAGTGTTTGAGTTCCAAGTTATTTGAGTACCAAGGCGCTTGAGAACCAAGGTACCACTGTACTGTGTTGGCTGCCTATATGCTATTGGGGCCCAGTTAAATGTTGTCTTGCTAACTTACTCAGCCCTGAATGCCTTGGGTCTCAAGTATCTGAAGTAGCAACAGCCCAACTTATGATCTGCTGGGGAGACCGTCTGTACCGTCTGTTTCTGTAGACAACTGGACCAAGGCTGGTCGGGACTGCTGATTCTTTTAGACTTGTCAGCAGCCTTCGACATGGTTGATCACGATCTTTTGGACCACTTGCCTTGCCAACGTGGGGATTCAGGGCACAGTCTGACAATGGCTGTGTTCCTTTATCTCAGGTCGGGAACAGAGGGTGGCGCTAGGGAAGGAGATGTCATTGCGGCACCCCTTGGTGTATGGAGTGCCACAGGGCGCAATCCTTTCCCCGATGCTTTTTAACATCTTTATGTGCCCCCTTGCCCAGATTGTCTGAAGTTTCGGGCTGGGTTGTCATCAATATGCTGATGATACCCAACTCTTATCTGTTGATGGACGGCCATCCTGAGTCGGCCCCGGACACACTGACCCAATGTCTGGAAGCTGTTGCTGGATGGCTGTGTGGGAGCCAGTTGAAGTTAAACCCTTCGACAACAGAGGTCCTCTGGCTGGGTTAGGACGGCATGGGGTTGGGGGGCCAACTCCCATCTCTTGTGGGGGCTCAACTTGTGCCAGTGCTTCTGTCAAGAGTTTGGGTGTAACCTTTGATGCCTCCCTCTCAATGGAGGCGCAGGTTGCAGCTACTGCAAAGGCAGCATTTTTCCATCTCCGCCATATCAAACAGTTGGTTCCTTACCTTTCCCGCCCTGATCTGGCCACAGTGATCCATGCGACGGTCACCCCCAGGTTTGATTACTGTAACTCATTCCTTTTCCTTCTGTAATGGAACCCCCTATTTGGGGACTTCCCTGGCTTTTTCTGGCCCACGTAGGACTAGTCTGGATAGTTTTTGATCTGGGCTTCCACTGAAATGAGGCTGCATTTTAAGTTGTATTTTAATCCTGTTTTTAAGTTGTATTTTAATCAATTGTTTTTATACCTGATGTTAGCCGCCCTGAGCCCTGTCTTGGCCAGGGAGGGCAGGGTACAAATTATTATTAATATTATTAATATTATTATTATTATTATTACTACTACTACTACTACCAGCCTGACACTGAGCATAGCAGCAGCATGTCCCTGAAGGTCCAGAGGGCATAGGTACTGAGAGGTGAGGGTTGATGAAACCTATCTTCCTCAAACAGCCATGCATCCCACACTTACGACACCAGTGACAATGTGTAGGTTTGAATTTTGTTTTTATTTCATTTGTGTCCTGCCTTTTTCCTCCAAGGAGCTCAATGCTTTTGCATTTCATCCTCACAACAATCCTGTGAGGTAGGCTAGGTTGAGAGATAGCAGCCGAGACCAGAAGAAACTGGCAGTTAATAACAAGGCATAGCAACAGTTCCCCCAACTGAGAGTGTAAGTAGTAGGCCCAGAGTCCTTCCCCAAGTGAACCAGATGTAAAGTCTGATAGCAGATAGCAGGCACATGTCACTTTTCCTGGTTCCCACTCCCAAATCCCATGATCCTTCAGTTATTAAAATAAAATCTAAAGCCATGCATGTTGGGGGGGAATACAAGAGAATCTCCTCTGAGCAAGGCCCTCCAACCTTTCTGGGGCCAAGGGGTGCATTTGGAAGTCTAAGAAAATGTCATCATGCCAGATTTAACTAACTGGTCCTGCTCCCAGAAGCCCACACAAGGCCTTCTGTTAGCACAATGAGGCTTTCCTCCCCTTCCCCATGCCCCCTCCCAATTGCGTAAGGAGAATCCCCAGAACAGCAGATAGGGGAGGAGAGAGGAGATCCCATCAGGCAAGAGGAAGCGCTTGTGCTGAGAGAACAAGCTTCTTAGGACTACGTGGAATTTCTTCTACAGGTTCCACAAAATACCTATTCCACAGAAGAAAAACTGCCAATGCTCAGGAAACCTCCCCCTCAAAACATGAGGCAAAATACCAATTGCCACCCACAAACAACAAAATTGGAGACAAAGTAGGCAACACCCAACCCAAAAAAGCAGGCAACACACACACCAAACTATTGGCCAAGCAAAAAAAGTAGGCCAAGCACCCCACTGCGGGGCCCACAAGCATACAGGGTGGGGGAGTGCTACGAGGGAGGTAGCGTCTGTTTTCCAGATAGCTGAGCCCCATGGAAGAATCAGAATGCAATTTAGGCAGGGCAGGAGGCCTTGCCAAGAACCAAGGAGGGTGCCTGAGGGCATGGTGACAACCACAGAAACCATCTTGAATTTAACAACAGATCACAGATGGTTTTTCCCCCTTGTAGGGGTGGACATGAAATAAATAAGTCACCAAACTGGCAACATTTAGGGCTCAGCATGTCTCTGCGTCATTAATGTTCGGCAGGTCATTCTCATTCTAGCAGCCCTGGGTGAGAACATCTGGGGGCTTGACAAGAGACCAAGCATTGGTACTTGGGGCTAGATGCATGTTGTCAACAGTCCTCAGCCTCAGCTCCTTCACGGATCCACTGCCAGTCCTTTGCCTGGTTCCTGCCTGCCCAATGCAAGCCACAGCAAGGCGATGGAGGCCTCTTGCTGGCAGCTACACCATGGCAATGGCAGAGTCTTCGGTGCTGCTCTCCTGGTCTAGACCCACTCTCCTGATGGACTCCCTGTACTTTTGCCTTCCCAGCGCAATGATGGCTGTGATCTCATCAGCTATGTCTTGGCGGCCGCTCTCCTTCATGGCACTGATCAGCTTGTCGACACAGTCGGGGTGTTTTTCATTTTGCTGAGCCCAGGAGAAGAGCATATGCAGAACCTGAGCACCGAGGTCGTCTCTGAAAAATACAGATGGAACAGCACACAATGGTGAGTCTCATTGAAATATTTACAATATGCCTTTTCATTTGCTCCAGGAAGCTTACAATAGTTCGAAACACACAAAGCATAAAACAATAAAATCCTAAGACATGTTTCATTAGCAACCGTTGGAAAAATAAAATTCAGATTAGGCAGCAACCCAACCACTTCTCCAGAAGCCTACCAACTGCCTTCGTAGAGCAGGGGACACGGAAACAGAAAGGTCTGCATGATCAAAGCTGCAGGTTCTTCTGCCTAATTTAGCAGCACCTGAGAAATCATACGTGTTTTAAAAACAAGCTTCAGTCCTTATGGGGCAGGGAGAGAGGAGGGGACATGGGAGCTCACTGACATTTTCTATAATTGTCTAAAGACCAGAAGGATTCTGGTTTTGGATTTTGCACTCATCAGAAGTTCCAGCCCCTCATTTCTTTCTGTCCTGGCCTCCACCCATCTATTGCCAGCCACCCCAATATTTTGCAAATCCCAGCTTTCGTTTTCCAGTCATTCTCTGAGGTTTGGAGAGAGGGAGACAAAACAACTTCTGCAAGAAAAAAATGCGAAGCATCTAAGACCTGCTACCAAGTGTTGGAGTGCTCTTGTTCAGGGTGCCAGCCAGTCACACCCTCCCCTCTAGGCTGTTGCTATATGCTAGCAAAGTTCTTCAGATGTTGCTACACAACAACTTCCTGAATTTCTGACCACTGGCTGTACTGGCTGGAGCTGAATACCACCAACATCTGGAGTTTCCCATTCCTGTTATATTATGTGGTAAGGAGCTCAAGGACTCCCTGCCTTCCGGTCAAAATAATTAGTGTTTCATTTTTCTTTCTCAACTGATGCTCAATATTCTGCAACTACTGAGCCTGCTCCATCATTATTTGGCTGTTTTGGCTGTGTTTTTGCCACCTTAGGGCTAGATTCAGCCTCACTCACCTGTAATTGTATCGTATCTGCTCTACCTCCTGGTAAGACAAACCCAGGTTTAAGCCAATCGTTGGCCAATCAGCTCCAACACGCCCAGCAATGGCAAGTAGGTTGGCCTGGGTCAAGTAGCCAGTTTCAGCATTCCCCAAATTCAGAGGGGGGAGAGAAAAGCCATTTGGGGTTGTAGGCTGCTCCTTCCCCTGGGTTTTCAGTTTCTGCCAAAACAGAATAAAAAAACCACATATGTCTATTATTCATGGGCCAAGAAAAACCAGTAACACAGCAATCCAACCTGCCACAATTATCTCTCCACTTAGGAACACAGAAAGCTATTATATATTGAGTCAGGCCATTGATCCATCTACTTCAGTGCTGTCTCCATTGACTGGCAGTGGCTCTCCAGGGCTTCAGACAAGAGACATTTTCAGCCCTATGTGGAGATGTTGGGGACTGAACCAGGGATCTTAGGCAACTTACGGGTAGCTTGATTGGCAAGGTGGCTAGCCAATGGGAATCAGGGCCTTTCCTCCTCTTGGTAACCTCTTCAGGAATGTCCTCTGGAACAGCACCTCGGTAAAAGGAAACCTTAAAAGATCAAAAAAGTTACAAAAATGCTATTATAATAATAGGAAACACATCGTAGACTACAGACCCACATACAATACAGATTCTCTTAACTGCCGCAGCATAACAAAAATAAGGGAGGAGAAAATCAGCAGGATATCTAAAATACAAAAATGGTGCACAAATACAGAATCTTCCCTCTATCCGAAGTAACTCTTAATCCCAGCCAGCCACAGAAAACAACGCCTGGGAACTCTCCTCTCTTTTCCCAGTCTCTCACCTTGGGTGATCTTTACTTCCCTGCCTGTCCCTCAGGGTCCTTCCACCATTTCCCCTTGTTCCTCCTAGCACAGATATTAAGGGCAATAAAGTGCATCCTCCACTGATTACAGAGGATTCATGCTATGTTCTTCGAAGTCAGTAAGCCAGAGTTGGCATCTTCCCCACTTGCCCTCCTCTCCCCCACCAAAACCATTGAATTTGTATGCCAGAGAAGATTATGTTCCTATCCAGGCACAAAATGATGAAACTAAATATAATTTATGCCTATGATCTTATTTGGAACAAGTTACACAACACGTTCTAAAATTTATGATCTCTCAGCTTGCTTAAGAGAGCTTTCTTGGAAAATATAGCTAGCTAAATTTGCTTGGTTTATTTTGGCACCAATATTTGAGGTTTTATAACAGCTTTGATGCTTGGAAAAGTGAAGGCGTTTTGGCAGGCCTAGGCAGGAGACCCTACCTGGACCCCATCAGTCATTGAAGCCTTTTGCAAATAGGGCTTGCATGTTTTGAATTTTCTCTCTATAACATTTTGCATTTTTTTAAAAAATTGAGATTCTGGGCTAGGGACTGGATTCTGCATCTTTCACAAACATATGAGTGCAATCCAGAGAAATACGTGGGACTGCAGCAATTAACTCTGATTTGTTTCAGCAGGATTTAAGCACACTCATGTTTTGGATCGTGGCCATGGACTCTGAGAAGAGAAGTAACCCTGTTTATGAACTGGCACATGATTAGGAACGAGAACAATGAGGAAAAGGAATACATTTGTTAATGAGAGATGTGTCCATTTATTAAGATGTGTATTATAAATGAATATATCATGGGAAACTTTGCTGGGGCCAAGAAGGAGAAACTGATGTACCTGCCCTTTCACAGATTTGCTTTTCCTGTCCGCTTCAGAGGTGATGTAGACTTCCTTCACGTTTTTCAAGTGAGAGAAAAAGTTGAACGAAATCCTTCCGTCAGTGCAGTCTGGGCGGTCTGAGTTAAGTTGGAGGCAAAGCATCAGTTTGCATCAAGCCACAGTGCTGTAAAAGGCTAAAAATCAAGAGGCAAGAAGACAAATAGGGTCCTGCCCACCTGTCAAAATTGGTCTGTCGGGGTGTGGGGGCAAGATGAGGATCTGGGATAATCCAGTTCCCCCCACTGATTCTACATCACTAATTGGCCGGCGAAAATGAGGAAATCAATGGTTTTGCATGGACATACTCGCTGATAGATGATCTGTCTTCACTGACTGGTTTGGGAGATTTCCCACCATCCACTATGGCCCAATGCAAGAGAATATCACCTGCTGAGCAGACACCACAGCCCTTGCTGCAGACCCCTTTTGACAGGCAAAGGGCCAGGAAAACATGGTGTCTTATCTTACATTAGCATCTCAATGCTAGCCAAGGAGGGGGCTTCCCCTATTCAGTGGCCAGCACAAAAATCAAAAGGTACTGCTATTACTCTTTTAGAAGGCATGGGTTTTTTTTTAAGTGCAAGCTGGTAAGGGTTGTAGGTTTATTAGCAAGTCTGACTTAAGCTTGTGGCTGCACAATCACGTCTGAGCCCTGAAAAAGCCTCCTCCTTTCAGAAGACCCCTTTGGGTCAACAGATTTGAGGATGGCGGGCAAGGGCCAAGTCCCTTTGTTCTTCAGGGGTATTTACACAAGCGGGCTCTGCTGCACTTTACCTGCATCAATGCTGATGCCTCGTTCAAAGGCTGCAAAGAACTGCTCCCCTTCAACCATCTCTACCATGTCCGATGGCTCAGGGCCTCGGTATCTGTCGTGGAGCCTTTTCAAAACAGGATCAACCTACAAGACATCCAGGAAGAGATTTTTTAAAAAATAGATCTTGGGGGTTCACAGGGCCAATTCATTTCATTACTCTTTGTGCGGTTTCAATGGGAGGATGAGGGTTTCCAAGGGAGAAACTTCATAAATGCAAGAGCAGCTGGTGCGATGCTGCAGAACCACCCTCCTGACCCTAGGGCTGCTGCCACTTGCCAGGCCAGAAGCAAGGTCTGGACTGCGTGGGCACACCAGCAGGGGTACCAGACTGGGCGCACTAGTGCATCCATAAAACCCTGAACTCACTGCCACCCTGCCACAACCATCCTTTGCAAATGGCAGTGACACCCAGTGTTGAAAGGGTAGCTTCTGCTGCACTACCCCAGCCATTCTTGCTGCTTTCTTTGCTTCTGTTACCCCTATTATGAGGACTCATGCCAAGCTGACCACCTAAGCTGGGCTCGTTCACCCTGTTGCAACAAACCATAGCTTGCAGTAGCCAATGTTTCCTGCTCTCGCCATGCTTGCTGCTCTTACTTCAACTAAAGCCCATCATAAAATCACGCACAAAGCCAATCTCAAGTATTCATAGGAGAAGGCTCTACTCACAACCAGCTGGTTCCCACCCACCCTGCTTCAAACCCAGAAAGATCTCTCTGGAATTCGTGCATTATATAGCTCAAGCTAGTGAGCACAGCTTCTGCTCCAGCCCTGAACAACTTGTGCCCTCCTCTCTTTTTTGCAATCCAGGAAGAGAGCAACAGCAGGCGGCTTACTGATCCCCTGGTGACCAGAGGGCTGTGTTTAGTCTGGTAGGTTACAAGTTGCTCTAAACATAGATATGTTCTTGGCTGCATTTCATGCTTGCAGATCACAAGCGGATGGGCACTACTGCATGCGCATGTACACACATGAAACCGGGACAGTGAACAATTTACCTTGTGCTTTGGGACACACTGAAGCAAGACTTGCTCAGGATCTTTCTTCCTCTGCAGAGCTATGAAGTTCACCTGGTACATGCGCAACCTTTTATAGACATATTTGGCAAAGCCACCGATATAGGTCTTGGTGGTGCACCACAACCAGTACCTGGGGGAAAGAGTGGGGATTTGCAAAATCATTTTGATTTGTTTGCTTTTTTCACTTGTGAGCACATATATTGCAAATGGGGGTGGCATGAATGCAAAGTTCTGTTTCTCTATGTGAGAAGAAACATATGGAGGTGTGCAAGTGCACTTCTATGTCAAAGGAAAACTGCACAGATGACACAGAAAACAGACCCCCACCCCAGTAGGGGCAATCTGATTCAGCTATTTAAATACCTGCCCAAAGCAAGGAAATGATGTGTGATTGAGGAAAAGGAAGAAGCTGTGAATCTCATTATTGAATACACATACAACACAAAACATGATCATTCTACAAGGTACAGCTCAGAGACAATACTTAGCGTGATGAGTTGAATGTGCCTGTGCTGATCGGTGTTCATGATGAAATGCATATGCAATTTCTTCACCCTGAGCAAAACTCTGAACTCAATCCCAGCATCTACTATTCCGCAGCAAAGCATCTAAAAGCAGACTGATCAAGTGCCACGGTGCATTTGAGTTTACTGTGAAGCATGAGGCATCAGCACAACTGCTTCCCTGCAGATACAAGCCAGCCTTCATGTGATCAACTCACATTCTCCATGTCTGAGTGAATCAGCAACATGGACAAGCCATTATGACACTATAAATTTTGTCCAGCACACCTGGTACCTATAAGATTGCATTCCTCTGTGTCTGTATTCTTTGCTAAATGTTCTAGACAGACACAAATAGCCTGAGTTGGACTACGTTCAAGTATACACTTCAGGAAATGAGTAAGAACCAGAATCAGATCTGCAGCCTGGCTCATATAATCCTTCTTGCCTGGTGGAGAAGCAGGAACTGAGGACCATTTAATAAAGAATACTCAACAGTTATCTTACTGTTGATTGCCCACTCCCACCCCTTGTTCAGAGGAAAGAGGAAACAACTGGATGAATATGGTCTCTTCTTTGTGGAGCTCCCAGTTCTTACGTTATATATAATGTATGTGGAGGGCAGGAAGGGATAGAACCTTCTCTTCTTGCTGGCCCAGGAAGATCTATGAAGTGTGCCTCAGAGAAAGAGAGGGACCTTACTCTTCCTGGGTCAACTCACCAGGAGAAGTGTGTGACTTCAAACAAAGCATAGAGGTGGGTGAACTCCAGCACCACCTGACTGGTGATGTCATTCCAGTTCTGAGCATTCCAGTCACTGTGCAGCAGATGCACCCTGGAGCGATCCAGGGTCAGACCTGTGGACCAAAGAAAATGTGCTGTTATCTACAGACCTTGAGGACGAACTATATTCAGTGCGTAATCAGGATAGATGAGGTTTTGCTCCCATTATTATAATAATAATTGATTATTTATACCCCGCCCATCTGGCTGAGTTTCCCCAGCCACTCTGGGCGGCTTCTAATCGAGTGTTAAAAACAATACAGCATTAAATATTAGAAATTTCCCTAAACAGGGCTGCCTTCAGATGTCTTTTAAAGATAAGATAGCTACTTATTTCCTTCACATCTGAAGGGAGGGCGTTCCACAGGGCGGGTGCCACTACCGAGAAGGGTGCCACTACCGAGAAGGTCCGAGAAGGTTCCCAGTAACCTCACTTCTCGCAATGAGGGAACCGCCAGAAGGCCTTCAGCACTGGATTATCAATGGAACATGTGAAATTGTGAAATGACTGGGGCGGTGTGGCCCAGAATAAACAAGAGCACCTTGCAGTTCAGTGTGCTATAGTGCACTATACTTGCACAACCAATTTCCTCAACAGAAGATTAACTGTCCAGCTTGAAAGCGCATTTAATTGTACCAACATTCTGCAAATTTAACTAGCCTGTGAAATTCAGGTGTGGTAATTCTAAGGAAGCATTAACAGTTCTGTCAAAACCCTTCTGCTGAGGGAATTTCTAGATCAAACCTACCTGTGACTCCTGGGGGCAGAGGGAGCTGAATTTTTACAGGCTGAAGGAAGTCGATGCTGGAATTCTGGGAGAGGCAGAGGAGGGGGCTAGCAACCGTCTCAGGATCATTTGTGATCTCCTGTAGGTCCTCTGAAGACACGGGCAGCACCTGAACATTTAAAAAAGGGGGGGATAGGCTCCATCAGGTAGTGTGGGGGTTTCCTACACAAGCAATGGACTTCGTAGGCTCCCCTTCCCACAGCAGCTACCAATGTCTTGAAAAAATGGTCCTGAAAGTGAAGGGTCCCACCAAAGAGGGGTCTAACACTGTGGAAAAGGCTGCACTCAGAAGCAATATTGGGAAAGCTCTTTTGGATTCCAGCCACAGGTGTCAATAGTTTTAATCCTAAAAGGAATTATTTGAGCAGTGACTGTATAAGTCAAATAGGAGCTTCCAAAATTCTTTCTTTTTGATTTTATAACACCAGGGCAACATGAAGGCACTCATGACCTAAACTATGCAACCTGACTGGAATAGGACTTTAAAAAAATTAAATCTCCAATCTTGGAATACATTTCTGGACTCTTTAGGCTTCCTGGGCAGAGGCTTACCTGGAGCTTCACTGTCCTCGTCTCCTCAGTCACGCCAGGGGGAAAGGTCACTTTGATGTTGGGATCGACAGTTGAAAAAAGCAAGGCTCCCTCTTGAGGGACTCTGCATTCATTCTCCACAAGTCGAGAGACAACCAAGAACCAAGAGAAGTGAGGGACGCTGCAGCAGGCCACATGCTTCTGTTAGAGGGTGTGGAAGGACAGACAGGCACCATTGTAACATGCAACAATACTTTAAACAGAGGGAACCAGGCACTGAAAATGAACGCAGGTCTTATACCAGCCTTACAAATATCCACGAACTGGCCTGCCTCAAATGTAACAGGGCCACTTCCAACAACAGGCCACATAGCCTGTTGGGCTGTAAATAATGAGCAACAAGCTTGAGTGTGCTCCTTCATCCTTATCTCACACACCCAGCTTCAGAAGAGACTTCCTGCTTTCTTATACCAGAGTTCCCTGTGGCATTCAAACCGAGAAACTCTGGTTTTAAGAAAACTAGGACATCTCCTCTGTAATCTGGGTGTGCTGGTTCAGATGATGAAACAGCTAGCTGACTCACAGAAATAACTAGCTCAAGCATGTTGATCATTCATAATCATCACATCTGAATTTGTCCAATTTGTGTTTGACAGACCTACTAACTTACGGAACTTTCCCTTAAAAGCTCTCTCACTTTGGCAGTACACAGAACAGACAGGCCAACAAATGAGAATGCAATTCCTAATGGTACTACACATATAACCAACCTTTCCTCCAAAGAGCTCAAAGTGGTACACATGATTGTTGCCCTATCCAATTGATCCTCACAATAATCTTGTCACATAGGTCAGGTTTAGAAGACAGTGACTGGCCCCTACTGAGCTTCACCAACGAGTGGGGATTTGAACCTGGGTCTCCCCTGCCTAACCACAACACTATGCTGGCTCTTTGTGAAAGGCCACCCATCTCGGTTGCAAATAAAACCAAGTATAAGACTTACTTAGCATGCCTAGGTGCAGGACCTTAATGAGTTAATGAACTGGGTGTTGTGTATTACAATCTCTAGGGGAAACACATGGCAAAACTGAAGAGAAAGCAGCTGCAGATTACAGCTCAGTCCTCCCTCCAAGCTTCCAGCAGGAATTCAATATGGCACCCAACTGATGCAAGGAAGAACTCGCTGAGAAGTGAGGTAACTGGCATGTTTTACAACACGTTGCGCTTCGCGGCCTACCTTTGGCTTTTCTTTCCATTCCACTCTGGTTCTCAAGTCACTCCAGTTTTGCCCACTGAAGGTTCGAATTACAATCTCACGGTCGTGCAGGTACTGCGTGGAGGCATATGGCAGCCAGATCAGCACCTCCTTGAAGAACACAAGACAGTTTCCATGAGTTAACCACCGAGAAGGAAACTTCTCCATAACTCCAGGGAGCAAGAGAGCAGACAACCATTGGGGAGGACGTGGAGAGCAAGCAAAGGTTGTTAGTGTGTCTCATTTCTGCTGTACCTCATAAAGAGGAAGCAGAGAGGGCAACAGCATAGACTGTTGCATATTACAGCGTCAAGATTGGGGAAAACGCAGCAGTTCCCACATAGCTCACAGACAGTAGTAAGAAATTGGTTTTATTGCACTGGAAACCGAAAAAAAACTTCTATACACTTCCAGCCAACCTTCAGACCTGCACTGGTTCTTTAACTGGGGATGCTGCATGCAACAGTGATTGCAAAGCACAAAAGGTGCAATGCATACAACATGCAAGAACACCATTGCTGGGTTTCGGAGGCCAGGGCTAAACAGCCAGAGAGATGGGAACTTTTATGACATTTATTTAGTGCAATTCATTTTTAGTGCCTATAATCTGTCACCCTCAGCCTTCAATCTAAGTAAATGAATAACATGTAATGGCTAATTGTGATTTATTTATTTATTTGAATTCCTGGTTGTTTCATAATATTTGCATGCAAATCTGTGTGGGTTTTATAATGCGCTTAATTGTTTTACTATTCTTAAAACATATTGCAAAAAGGAGGGATTATATTATTAAATACCTTTTCAGCCACTGTTTTCTAAAAAAGGAGAGGTCCTATCCAAACTAGAACTCTGTTTATCTTATTCCCACATTCTACATATCTCACAAGCAGAATGGTTGTCCTGGGGCATTTTTCCTGATGGAACTCGCATTTTATTAAGCCAAACCTCACTGGCAGCAGCCTAAATGCCACAAAGGGTGGTTTGCAAGCAACCCAGCCATTATCACATTTAGCACACAGGGTTCTCAGTGGCCACTTTTTTGGCAGGCCAATATTTTTCTTCTTCTTCTTCTTTTCTCCCACGCCCAAGCTGAAAGATTTGGGGGAATTAGCGCAGTTCTAGCCTAAACTCCTTTATGACTTCATGAGCTCTTCTTACCTTCTGGAAATGAATCCCATGAGGCTGCAGCTCCAGGACTTCACTCAGCAGGATGTCATGGTCCTTCAGCTTGACCCACTGGGGGTCAGGGGAGTGCCTTTGGAAGTGGATATTTACTGAAGTGGTGGTGGCACCCAAGGGGAAGCAAAACTGGACACCACAAGCTAGGAAAACTCTGCAGCCTTCAGGAGTCACAGTAAAGCTTAGAAGATACAAAGAGAAGCACGGATGTTTCTACAACGTTACAGTCCTCTTTACTCCAAAGTTCTGAGTTACAAATATCTATAGACTGTCAGAATTCTAGATACAGTTCTAAGGCTTGACTACACTGTGTTTCGCTTAGCTGCATCCAGACTCCAGATCACTCCAATCCCATGGGCTTCCCTGCTCTCCCTGCGACCCTGATGGTGGTAACTGAGTTTTGGATACTTGCTCCAAAGGAACAGATAGTCTCATCACCTTCAATAGCACCTGGGTTCCATTTCTAGAATATTTGGAGGATAACTGAATGACTATCAGATATGGCTGTTCCTAGCCATGTCTGAGTGCAGAGTTTGGAACTTGCAACTGGCTGTTATTGGGGGGGGAGGGTGGAATCACTTTACTCTGGTCCTCAAATCCCTTATGACATTCCAGACCCAATACGAGCCCTAAACAACTTGGGATCCAAGTACCCATGAGAGCACTTCCTCCAGTACTGCCTAAGCCTTACCCATCTATGAAGATTTGCTAGGGATCAGCTGTCTGTTATTCCAACTTTAGCTTCTGCTGGGTGTGCAACGATAGAAGACAGGGCTTTTTTGGTGGTGCCCCCTCGCAGCTAATTATGACACCCCCTCCCAAATGGCATTTGATTGTCTCCCCACATTGGCCTCAGTTGGGCACAAGGTGAAAACATTTCCCCAACACTGCTACTTGATGTAATGTTTTCTTGATATGGCATATTGTTAGCCACTCTGTGTTTCCGCAAAGTTGATGGGTGGGATATAAGAGTGCCAAAGTAAAATAAGAAACTAAAACTAAGCCTATCCCTGCTATTCTCAGATATTTTCCTTGCTTTTTTCCTCTTTCAGGGCTGGTATGCAGAGGTCCCACTTGCAGGCTCCAGGAATGAGGGGGCCATTGGCCCCCTCTAGGCTTATCTGGTGATGATTGCTACTACTCAGTCTGACCTTTATGTTTCCCTCCCCTTATGGTTTTGACTTTTAAAATGAGGCTGCATTTTAACCTGTATTTTTTTTATTTAAAAAATTCTTTTTCTTTTTTCTTATTATGTTTTTACTGAAATTTTATTGGTGTTAACTGCCCTGAGCCTGGCTCTGGCCGGGGAGGGCGGGGTATAAATAAAATTTATTATTATTATTATTATTATTATTATTATTATTATTATTACTGGACTAGTAGCAATCTTAACATCCCAAAGATTAAAACAGTGATGGCACTCCAACTGCAGAATGACCAACAACAGCAAATACAGTGGCCGCTGTTCCACACTCGAGTGTCCCAGAGGAAACAGGAACCCAGAACCCATGTCCCTGAGCGCTGCTTGGAGATGTTACTTGGTGGTAACGGCCCTGCTCCCTTCAATGAGTTTGCCACTGATAGTTAACTTGCAACCAGTTTCTTGTTAGAAATCCTACTTGGCTCATTTGTAAAAAACGGGGATGATTAACCCACAGAAACTACCCCTTCATCAACAACTGAACAAGGCATCACAGTACAATTGATTATTATTAGTATTAGATGTATATCCCTCCCTCCCAGGAGCCATGGGAAGCAAGGAGAATATTATGCCAAAAGTGAATTAGGAAGATACACTGACATGATGATAGTACAGAAAGACACCGGCCAAAAAAAGTATGTGAAATACCTATCCTCACCAGCTTCAAGGAATAGTCTTTGTAATTTTTCTGGCCTTGAGTTTGAGTCTGCAACAAGTCAGAAAACAAAGTTTACATGAATATAAACAGAACGTGTTAAGTGCTTCTGTAGGAATGAGTATAGTAGTCTTCAACTTTTTCAAACCAAAAACATGCACTTGGGCCTCAATTCTTTATCATATATTTGTATGGTGGGAGGGCTACTGTTGTGACTCCCTTTTGATCAGCTCACAAACCAGTGGTGGATCCTGCTCCACCCATTGAAGACAAATGGTTTAGTCAAACGTTTTATTATGTTTTTATATGTGATAGAAGCTGCCCAGAGTGGCTGGGGAAATCCAGCCAGATGGGCGGGGTATAAATAATAAAATTGTTGTTGTTGATGCCTTGTTCCCACAGGGCCAGCCCCAGATATTTCACCACTTGAATATTAACCATGATTTCTATGACATGAACTCCCACCAGAATTTCAAAATAAAACCTATGACAGGGTCACTAACATTTATGGATCGGTGGGCACATTTCAAATGTTGAGAGAGTCACAAAATAGCTGTTGGCAGAGCAGGGCATAACACAAAATGGCTGCAATGCACAACACAAAATTAGAGAGGCAGCCACCCCTGACACCTTTATGCTAACCACGGGAAGACAGCTATGTTCTGCTGGTCATGATTACAGACGTTGTCATGCTATATAGATTTTACTTACACACAGAGAGAGATGTGGCTGCTGTCTATAGGAATAGGGAGCACCCCTCAGAACCAGGAACATATACAAAGTGGCCACACCAGATTCACTCGCATGCCACAGATGTTGCTTGGAAGGCACCTGCACATTTTACCTCACAACTTTGTTTCTAAGAGGGCTACAGACTGACTTCCCTTTTTCAACATGAAAGCTCAGAGACTGGGACATCTGCCCTGAAGTACCCATGAAAGTCTTTGTGGGCACCAGATTGGTGACCCCTGCCCTATGAGAAAGTGACATCCACAAGCAACGCCTGTCTAAGGGTAATGGCGATTTTCATTTATCAATGACTGTAAGTAAAGTCACCAAGCAAATCAACCCGTTTGCTTCAAAGTCACCCACCACAAACCTGGCTTTAGAGTGCCTGGGAGAAACACCCAGGAAGCTTTAAGGCAATTTGCATTCAAATTGGTCTCTCTTTTGGCTTTAAGGTCTGCCCACCCTTCTTAGCAGCCTTCTCTTGCTTTCAGCAGTGCCTCATTTTGAACTGAATCTGAGTCCACTTCAGATTATGTGCCCTCTTGCAGTCGCAGTAATGTGAGGGGAGGAGCAGGGCCAAGCTTGCTGCCCCCCTCAACCCTCGCTCCCCATGCATTGGAAGTTCACATGTACTTCTGGGCAGTGCTGTTTTTCTAGAAAAAGAGGTGCCAGAACTCACCATGAGTGCCTCCCTTGTTCTCTTAGAATGGCAATGGCTCCCAGCTGAGAGGTGCCAGAACTGAGCTCCAGTGAGTTCCGGCTGAAAAAAAGCCCTGGATCTGGGTCACATGAGGAGCCTATACTCATAGGGCAGGCTCCCTGGATGGTGGGGAAAGGGCCAGGAGAGGACACAGCAGCAGCAGCAGCAGCAGCAGCAGCAGCAGCAGCAGCAGCAGAGGAGCTTAAAGAAAAAGCCCAGCTTTTTCTGTCCAGGCAATTTTGATGGGATGGAGAGGAATGACTGAAGGGGGCTCAGCTGCCTGTGAAAACCAACCAGGCAGTCTTTCAACCAGTCCTTCATATTGTAAGGGCTGCAATTTCAGATGTGTCTACACACCTCTCACAAAAAAACAACAACCACAGAGCTGCCTTCTGCACCAGCCACGCAGATCACACAGCAGCTTCTGACTGTCTCCAGTTAGAGCAGCTGTTGAACAAATCAGACAGAAGAAAAGCAATTAACCTGGTTGCAGCGGCACCTCTGGCTCTCCTAGAGGATTACCACGGAGATGCACAAAGGGGAGGCTCTGGATCTCTGGGGGGATGCTGCGCAGCCTATTGTTTTGCAGATCAAGCCTGGACAAGTTGGGAAGGCCGGCCAGGGATGCAGGAACTGTCACCAGAAGATTGCTGTGAAGATGTAGCTGCCGCAGAGACTGCAAATTGCCTGCAAGTCAGAGCAGGAGTGGGAAAGAGAGAGATCAGCCTACACTTTGTAAATCCTTATATGCAAGCAACTCTCCCCCATTCACAATTTGCAAATCCCTTATAACAAAAAAGAAAAGAACTTGGGGTCTTGCTTACTTCCACCACAATAAAAACCAGCCCTCAAGCATACATACATGCACAGATAAATAGAGATAGATAGATAGATAGATAGATGATAGATTAGATAGATAGATAAAAAATTTATACAGCATACTCATACCATAAACATTTACCATAGAAAGGCTCTCGTACTAGCCAAAAGGAACGTGCCTGGTATTTGAGGAACACAATGTAATAAATAATCTAATTAACAAAGGTCAGAGGGAGTCAGGCTTAATCCTAGTATTCCCTTGGCATTGTAGCTCACCTCAATAGTGAAGAGGTGTGTGTATGGAGGTGCATGTAAAATCCCTATGATTTTTGCAAGGCTAGAACATAGCCTTTAGTACAAAGAGTCAAATCACTTGCTCTACCCACATTGCCTCTAGGCTTGCTCACCACTGTCATGCGGTCCCCGGAATGTGGCCCATTGAGGAATATGGCCCTCAAGCTGAAAAAGGTTCCTTCCCTTTGTGCTATAATACACTTACATCCTGATTATGTGGGTACCACCATTAGTAGTAGTGGATCCCTCTGCAGCTATATAAGACCCTCCAGCTGCAGACTCACCAAATCTGAAACAGGGCCAGAAAAGTTTTTCTGTTTAGTCAGGACTCTGGTTATCAGTAAAGTGACAGTGCTGCTGCAAAGACTGTGCCTTTCTTCAGGCTGAATACAACAACAACAACAACAACAACAACAACAACAACAATTGTATTATTTATACCTTGCCCATCTGACTGGGTTTCCCATTGCAAATCTTAACAACTTTAAATATTTTAGATTCTAACTATTGGGTTTCCTAAAAAGTTGTATCTTAAACCGCTTTGAGAACACCTACTAAAAAGAGGTCTATATATGTTTCATTAAATATTTGCATTTTTTGTATTCCCTTTCATCAAAAATGACCTAATTTAAGCTCATTCTATGAAAGTAAGCCCCGCTGAGTTAAATGAGACTTACTTCCTAGCAATTGCACAGAAAAACTGCAGCTATGCCATGTGACCCTGAATGTGTCGTAGCTTTAATCTCGTAATTTGTTTAGTCTCAAATTGCATCTTAAAATATTTACTCCCTTTCTCTTCCATTTGGGAAAAACTTACCAAGAGAGCTAGGGATTCCTGTTAATAGGTTCCCTGAGAGATCCAGCTCTGTGCAACTCTGCAGGTTTCCAATCTCTTCAGGAAGCGATTCCAGTGCATTTTCAGAGAGGTCCAGTGTTTCTAGTGCTGCCAGCTCCCCTATGCTCTGTGGCAGACCTTGGAGCTGGTTCTTCATGGCGGAGAAGAAAGTGAGGTTGCTGAGCTGGCCAAAGTCCTCAGGCAACCCCTGCAGGCTGTTGTGACTCACCAGGAGGCTCCTGAGACTGCCCAGCTTGGTGATGCAGGGAGGCAGAGCACTGAAGCTGTTGAAGCCCAGATCCAGATGAGCAAGGTGGCTTAGCTCCCCCAGCTCTTGCGGCAGTGATGCCACCAACCCTCTCTGGGGAGTGCCAATTTCATCTCTGGTGTGTCCACCTACAGGCCAGGAAAATGCAGGAAGAGAAAGCCTCGTTGAAAGGATCTCCGTTAACTAGCCTCATATAAGCATATAGATATCCAATGGAACAATATGGAAGACTGAACAGAGATAATTGGAAAATACAAGAAGCTTGAAGGATTTGGGGCATGAAGGGACTACAGGTACCCGATAACTGTCAGTGGAAGTGGGTCTGGATTTTTTGCTTTCAGGGCTACAGCAGGAGTGATGAACCTGCTACACTGACAAAGAGGTGTCTTTTTTGGCCCCTTAGCTTTCAGTCCAATATATAACAACGATAATAAAGCAACAAGATTGGTAGCTTGCAGCTGCGCATGAGACACACACAGCTACTGTTGCTTATATTCAGTATAAACTGGTTATTATAAATACCTGTGCTAATGAAACCTAGGTTTTTAATAGGTTGGCCAGCTGAAACTGTATTAATTTAGCTGCATCAATGAAAGCTACAGTTGCTGTTTTTGCTGTAGATACTTGAAACAAAAAAAAAAAAGATCAAAACACTTCAAGAGTTAGGCACACATGCTTATTCCTAAAGGGAGAGCCACACCAATTTCAAAAGGCAAAGAGTAGCCAAGATAGTTTGCCACAAGTGGGGGGGGGGCGTATTTTGTGATGCCTTACAGGTTATCTGATGGAGTGGACTCCAGTCCACAAAAGCTTGTGTTGTCATAAACGTGTTAGCCAATATAGCGTGCCTTGTCGATTTCAACATGGTTATCAATTTGCAGCCTGATCTTTTTCCTATTGTTCTGAAAAAACATGCAAGCCTATGTATGCATACCCTGAAGTAAGCCCCACAGATTCCAATGGAACTTACTTTGGAGTAAATATGGTTAGGACTTCAGGCCAAATGTAGTACACATGTTACAGATGGCTAGGGGGTAGGGACCCTTAGGCTTAGGCAGAGGAAGGCAAAGGCAAACAGCTCAACATCGAACCCCCTGCCTTCTGTGCTTTTGACGGGTATTTTAAAAATCCCACAACATAGAAGAATTCTGTCGCCTGCCCATTTCATTCCCAACACGAGCAAGAGGACAGAGCTTTCCGTTTATGGGAAGGTGGCATGAGAATAAAAAGTGGGTGATGAAGAGAGAATCACAGGAAGAAGAAAAGGACCCCCTCAGCTTAAATGAGACATATAAAAATCAGAGTAAATATCTCTCCAAAAGCTTTTTCATGTTGCTACATAGACACAGAGTAAATCATCTCTACTGTAATATAATCATAGTAAGAAGGGAAGCTACTGTCCCAATTTGGCACTTTCTGCATTTTGACAGATATGGAACTGTCATCATCATTTTTCACTTCTGCAAGCCCCATTCCACAACTAAGCAGTCTCGTTTCATTCACTGTTGAAACAAGGTCTGTTCCAAGCCAAATGTCAGAAGGAATACAGTAGTAAAACCTGACTTTTGTTCAGCAGAAGATAACGAAAGCCCCATGTCCATTCCAACAAGAGAAAGCCCTATTGAAAAGAGTGGGTTTACATTTGAGTAAACACAACGGGCCCGTTCCCAAGAGAGGGTGCAGACCCACCCGTTGCAGGTTTCCTAAGAAGTAAATCTCACCATCCTCAATTCATGGGTAAGCGTGCATAGGTTTGAAGTTTTTGACTGTACCATGCACTTTCCTGGCAGAAAGTAAGCCCCACTGAACACAGTGGGACTTACTTCTGAGGTGGGGAAATGCATAGGATTGCAGCAGAGTCAGACCATTTTGCGCCTTTGTGAGAAACAGTGGCCTAAGGTCATTTTGATGGGCTTGGTCGGGGAAGGAAACCTAAAAGCTAATCTAAACAGATGGGAGAAATATAAATTAAAAAGTGAAACAGTCGGTCAAAAGACAGAAAGAGAAAAGAAGCATGCAGTTTACCTTTGAGTACAAGGGATTTTAAGCCCTTCAGGACCGGAATGGTGCTTAGTGTGGAAGTGATAAGTTCCTCATTGCAGCTCAGCCTCAAGAATTCCACCTGCTCCACTTCTTCCCTTCTCTTCTCATACAGCTTGAGGAACAGGCGACAGCCCTCTGGGTAGACGTCTAAGTTGAGCCTGTTGCCAGCCAAGCAGGAACTAGCAGGTGCCTCGGCCTCCAAAGCACCCTCCCCCAGAGGGTCCCCAAGCTCCTGCGGCCCAGCCATCTTCTGGTGTCACATTGCCAGGGGCTGCGCATGTTTTGACTTGCCAGCCAAACGAGCACCGGTGCCACCGCAAGGGATTGAAATGGAAGATGGAGGAAAGAGGCAGCCCCTGTGAAGAAATGGAGGGAGAGGAGCAAAACGCTGAAGAACCAGTGCACACGCAAAATCCACCCAGATGAAGGAAATAGCAGAAGCTGGACTTGAGGCACTGAGCATAGAAGAGGGCAATACAACATCTTCCCACCTGGGCTGTTTAAGTGCCATATTAAGGCATACAACGGGCCCCAAAGCTGATAAAACTAGGAAGGAAGAATGGACGTTTGAAAGACAATGTGGGGAAACTGATTGCATTTTGAAGTTTATACATCTTTCATGTACTATTAGAGTTCTTTGCCTCCTCTTTAGAACCACAAAAATGCATCTTAATAAAAGAATATTAGATATTTGCAAGCAATATAGCAACAAAAGTGTAATAGAAAAATTAAAGATCTTTGAGTACCAAATCCCCATCCCTAACACACAGCAATGCCATGTATCTCCATGGCATTTTACACATGGGGAACCGATAAAGATAACCAGCTGTGCAAATGTGATTTTTTAAAAAACAGGTGCAGCTTCATTCACAACAGCATGACATGCCACCCATCTATAGGAAGCTAGAGCACTTTCATCCTTGACATCTGGGCACAGTTTCCCTAGGAACTGTGGATGAGGAGTCAACTAAAAAAATGCCAGGATGAATACAATTGACACAGTACAATCCTATGCACATTTACTCAGAAGCAAGTCCCACAGAGTTCCATGGGACTTGCTCCCAAGTCAGCACAACGCCACAGCTCTAATGCTTTTTTTCACGTGACCCCTTATTTTCTTCTTCAAGTGTAACTTATCCTTATTATTCTTGCATTAGGCACTGCTACAACCTTCAAAAAGCAAAAAGCCGATCTTTGGCAAAAGGGCCATTTTAAAAAAAACCTGTCCCCTCTCAGAGTGACTGCATAGCCCCCCCCACCCCACTTACTTCCAATTATTTACTCAGAGAGATTTCCCTGATTTAGCTGTGTGGAAGTGATAAATTAACAGATAGCTGCACTGCAATGACAGAAGTGGAACCTGTTGAAACTTTCTCTTACAATATGCACAGCATCTTTCAAAGGCAGATGCTGGCACCTCTAGAAATCAATTTTTTGCAGCTGTGTTAATGTAACTATTCCAGTCTGTTTCCCAACATGCTTTAAAGTAGGGGTGGCCAATGTGGTGCCCACTAGATATTGCAGACTACAATTCCCATCAGCCCAAGTTAGCAGAGAGAGTCAATGATGGGGATAATGGGAGTTGCAGTCCAAACCATCTAGGGAGCACTATGTAGGCTCTCGCTGCTTTAAACGCTGTTCTCCAGAACCTGTGGCCCTCCAGTTGTTGCTGGACTCCAACTTCCATCAGCTAGCGGTCAGGGATTATGGGAGCTGTAGTGCAGCAACAACAGGAGAGCCACATGTCCCCCATCTCTAAAGCACATGACAGGGACAGAGATAATGTTTATTTCATTACAGAATTAAATAGGATGGAGAAAGTCGTGGAAATAATTCATCAACAATTGCGTTAATCTGCAGCAATTCCATTATTACCTAAGAGGGTGCAAAATTAAGCGTGGCGAGTGTCAGGCCAAAGTATAAAGCCAAGGACCCTGGTCCTTAGCTCCTAAAACGGGAGGGAGGAAGTTCAGGCATAGGCGCCGACTCCATGGGGCCTGAGGGGGCCCGAGCCCCCTCAAAAATTTTATTGGGGGGGCGGAGCCCCCCCAATAACTAAAAATTTTTTGCGCGCCTTGGCTCCCACGGCCGGCGAGGGGAGCCCGGGCTGCGCGCGGCTGCTGCTGCCGCCGCCGCCTCTCCTGGGGGCGCCGCCTCCTCGGGCGGGAACGCTGCGGGTGCGCGAAGGAAGAGGGCGGCCCCCGGGGGCTGGGAGAGCCGGGCTGCCGTGGCCGAGAGGGCTGCTCTGCCGGGCACCGCTGACATAATTTAAGAAAATTATCGCGCGCCTTGGCTCCCGCGGCCGGTGAGGGGAGCCCGGGCCGCACGCGGCTGCTGCTGCCGCCGCCGTTTGTGGTCATGGCGGAGCTGCCGCCTAGGGAGGAGGGGAGAGGGGGCTGGCGGGGGGGGGCAGGCGGTGAAGGGGGCTGGGCTGCTCTCTCTCTCTCTCTCTCTCTCTCTCTCTCTCTCGGGCTCTCTCTCTCTCTCTCGGGCTCTCTCTCTCTCTCGGGCTCTTCCCGCCCAGGGCTTGTGGGCATCTGCTCTGAGAGGAAGATGGAGGTGACTTCCCTTAAAGGTCATGGAATCATAGAGGTGGAAGGGACCCAAAGGTCATCCAGTCCAACCCCCAGCAATTCAGGACTCACAGCTAAAGCATCCCTGGCAGATGCCCTCCCCCCGACCTCTCCCTAAAAGCCCCTTCCCCTGTCTGACTGCTCTCACCACCAGAAAGGCCTTCCTAATGTTTTGTGGGAATCTCATTAAGCCTACAGAGCTATATATGCAAATGGATCTACTTATTCTTTCCCTTGAAGATACATTGATTCGTTTGTTACTGTGGTTTCGATCAATACTTTCCAAAGATCTTTACATTTGTCCATGCATGATCTTTGTCTGAAAGCTCATGGGTTGCAGGAGTTGTCATAGGAGGTTATATTTTTGTCCTTCCAACTGTTATGGAAATTACAGGGGGGGGCACATCTTTAAAGTTGTTAAATGTTGCAAATATTATGCCTGAATGTACCCTTTCAACTTGACAGCTCAGGGAAGTTACCTAGATAAAATCCTGTAACACAATGTATCAGCCTTAATCATTTTGCAGATGTTAGGGGGGGGGCAGAGCCTGCAGCCACCATCCCTTTCCGGTGGGGAGGGGGCAGAGGAAAGACAGGAAGCTTTTCCCTGCAGAGTTAGACCCCTTGGCTGCGTGGCCCTCGGGTCCCTTCAAACTCCTGGGCGTTTTGCTGGTGGGGGGCTGTGTGGGGGCCTGGGCGATGTCAGAAGAGGAAGCTTGCAGGCCTGGTTGTCTGTTGGGGGCAGCAGGAAGAGGCGGAGGGCAGGATGTGCAGCCCCTGCCTGGCTTTCCTGTGGGACCAAGGAAGCGGCTGGGGGGGGGGGGACTTGGCCGCTGGCCTTTGTTGCGGAGGCGGCAGTGTGGGAACGCCAGTCCCAAGGGCAGCCTCTGGGGTCCGGGTGCTGCTGCCTGTCTCCTGCCATGGACTTGGCGGGGGGGGGCTGTGCTATTGGGCTGGCAGAGACTTAACGGGGGGCTGCCTCTCCCAGCCAAAGCTGACCCACAAAATTGCAACCCAGTGTGTGTGTTTGTGTGTGGGGGGAACCAGCCTGCGCAGGGTAAGCCCCGATGGGGCTCCTGGGCTCCTTCTGATGCATGAACATTGGAGGTTGTCCTTTACAGCTCAGCTCCCCAAGGGGCTCAAAGCCTCCCAAGTCCATTATCAGTCGGAGACGAATGAGTGGAAGCTGGAAGAAGGGGAATCTTTATTTTTCTGTTGAAACAGAGCCCTCCTTCCCACTGACATTTGCAAGGAGGGGAGGACCCCAAACAAAGGTGTGCAGCAGCTTTGAAAGACTTTTCTGGCTCAACATCAGGAAGAGCTTTCTGACAATAAGAGCTGTTCAGACGGTCTCTGCTCCCTGGGAGAGGCTAGGTGGCCATCTGTCAGGGATGCTTGAGCTAAGATTCCTGCATTGCAGGGGGTTGGACTAGATGACCTTGGGGTCCCTTCTGTCTCTATGATTCTATGATTAGCATAATACAAGCATCTCAGGAAGAGGCATCTACCAACAGAAATCCAAGAGTGTGGCTTCTCTCCTGTCTGTCAAGGGACCTGCAGATGCTGATTGCCTTACTTGGCCAGTTCCTTAGGACTGGTACATACAGTCATACCTCGGGTTACAGATGCTTCAGCTTAAGCATTTTCAGGTTATGGATGCACTGAAACCCAGAAGTACCGGAATGGGTTACTTCCAGGTTTCGGCACTTGTGCATGCGCAGAAGCGCTAAATCACAACCTGTGTGTGCGCAGACGCAGCAATGTGAGTTGCGAACACTGCGGGTTGCGAACGTGCCTCCCACATGGATCACGTTCGCAACCCGAGCGTCCACTGTACCTTGGTTCTCGAACAGAATGCGTTCCGGGAGTCCATTCGACTCCCGGAACCATTTGAAAACCAGAGTGCGGCTTCTGCCAGAGGAGCCCCCTGCAGCCAATCGGAAGCCGCACCGGATGTTCGCCCTCCAAAAATCATTTGAAAACCAGAACACTCACTTCCGGGTTTCGATTGTTCAGAAGCCGATTTGTTTGGGAGCCAAGGTGCTCGGCTTCTCAGGTACAACCGAACCTGAGTCCTTGGGGGCGCCGCCTCCCCGGGCGGGAACGCTGCGGGTGCGCGAGGGAGGAGGGCGGCCCCCGGGGGCTGGGAGAGCCGGGCTGCCGTGGCCGAGAGGGCTGCTCTGCTGGGCGCCGCTGACATTGGAACTTAGAAAACTTCCAGGGGCAGGACCTCCGTATGGGCCCCCCCAATATTTTTTATAAGTCGGCGCCCCTGAGTTCAGGTCAAGTCTTTCCCCCTAATTCCGGGGTAGGGCGCAGGGTGGACGGTTAACTGTGATTTTTCAGTGAAGAGAAATAAGGCTGTAAAGTGGTTTTAGTCATTAGTACACGCTTCCCAAGAAACAGCTCGGCACTGAAAATACAGACTCCAGAGCAAAGTCGTGCCAAAGAAAGGAACTTACGGTTGCAGCCTTGTGCTGCGACGCTACATATAACTCACCAGGAAGTGAACCCCATTGAACGCAGCGGCGCTTGCTTCTGAGTATCAGCACTTAGGATCAGCTTCTTAGTGCCCGGAGCAGGAAGAGAAAAGCTTTGCATGAAGTTTTCAGATAACCAGCAGAGAAATTGCCCGGATTAAGCAGTGACGTACATCGCCCGAGGTCTCTAGCCCAGCAGAAGCAAAAGAGCTTCCAAACAAAAGTTTCAATCGAAACGCGCCACCCGACCCGGCCTGTTTACGCCCGCCCTTTCCTCAGCTTTCCAGACAAGAAAATGTTCTTACGTGGGCCAGACAAGCATATTTTCCCTTTTGCCGGTGCTTTTGGCTACTCCGATCCTCGCCGTGCTTACTGGAAAGTTTGTAAAGGCTGCTGATTTCAGTGGCAACCGCTAATGCAAGTAAGCGCGCTCCGGATCGTAGCCTTCGGGTCTGCTAGTCGACCTCCTAACGGCTTGCGGCGCAGTTCCAGTCCCCCGCTGTTTGCACATTGCCGCCGAAGCAACAGCCTAATTTTCCCAGGCCCTCCTTCTCCTAAAGGAGGCAGATCCCTCCCGCCCTCTTGCACAAATTCCCGCTTTCCCGCCTCGGCCAGCGCGGAGGCGGCGAGCAAAGCGACGCCTTGGGCTTGCTGGGTACGTCCCGGCGAAACTGCGTCCATTGTGATCTGTTCCTTCCTAACAAATGCGCGCTGCCGCAATCCTTAAGGGCTAGTTTTGCTATTGCGATTTGTAGGTCATTGCGGATTCTTGCAACTCGTTAGGCTGGTCCCGCCCCCCCCCCCGAAACATGCGGGACCTACGACATAACCTTGTCGCGTATTCTACCCCTTTAAACACGAGTATTCCTATTTAGGGTTTAGCTAGCTAGACAGCCAACCGTGTAATACTCCAGTATATACTATGATGTAAGGGGCTCAAGCAGACCATTTCATGTCTCCCCTAGTTTTACACACACCCCCCCCCCAACATTTTATGGAGGCCATGGAGCATGCTCAGTAAAGTTAAAGGTACCCCTGCCCGTATGGGCCAGTCTTGCCAGACTCTGGGGTTGTGCGCCCATCTCACTCAAGAGTCCGGGGGCCAGCGCTGTCCGGAGACACTTCCGGGTCACGTGGCCAGCGTGACATCGCTGCTCTGGCAAGCCAGAGCCGCACACAGAAATGCCGTTTACCTTCCCGCTAGAAAGTGGTCCCTATTTATCTACTTGCACTTTGACATGCTTTCAAACTGCTTGGTTGGCAGGCGCTGGGACCGAGCAACGGGAGCGCACCCCACCGCGGGGATTCGAACCGCCGACCTTTCGATCGGCAAGCCCTAGGCGCTGAGGCTTTTACCCTCAGTCCTCATCAATATTTATTAGTTCTTACTCTACTTCTGCCTACTTCAGGATTGTATACATAACAATGAAATACCCAAGTAGTATTTCCCCCCCTTACATATAATACGGTTACATGCCACCCCAATCTCTGAGCGGTATGATATTCCAGGGAATCCAAGTGCTTTACTCAGAGTTTGTGTTTCCTTTTGGAATGAGGCACAGTGGAGTCTGTGATGTCTTTATGATATATGGTTTTTTTACACATATATACAACCTGGGCCTATGATGGAGGGGTTCAAAGTGTTTAACTCCAATCGGGTCTTGTTTCTCCCATTGCTGCAGCCCTGGATCCAAAAAGAAATCAAAACATGGCTCACTGTCCCTCTGCTCAACTTGCTGCATTTAACACATTGCTTAGTGGAAGGAAGGGTTCACACCCATCTGCTGTCCAGTACAGGGTATCTGCTTTGTTAATCAGTATACAAATTTAATAAATCACTGTTGTCTTCATCATCATCACCCATTACCTTCCTTTGGTTCTCCATAATGGCTCTTCTCCCAGGTGATTTCTAAGCACAGAAAAACTCCATTGGACTGTATTTTTACACTGCTAAATACAGTGTTTGTCAGCCCTTCTGAATACTCCAAGCATTGATTAAACTCCAACAGCCACTAGACTTAGGAATTATGGGGAGGGTCTAGCACCCAGGAATTTAGGGGAGTCAAGGCACCCACAAACTCATAATACCCTTTTTTCTCCTATGTAAACATAGGTTGAAAAACTACCCCCAACCCCAAACTATGTTTGCAGTATGTTGTTAAACTGCCTTTTTCCAGATTATCAAAGGATGAATGGCCCTTTAGTGATAACCTGGGTTGTTAGTGTTCTTGCTTTTTTAACTGTTCCAGTATTCATGCTATTAGCTATTGATAAGTGATTCCCCTCCCCCAAGTTATGCATGGCAGTCTTAATTCTGTTGCACACTGAAAAATGATTGGTCACCTGGGATAGAGGCAGGGCATATGGTTTCCTCCTTCTGTTCAGTGCTTAATAAGATCTCCCTGGAGGGTATAGGGCTAAGCCCATAACAATTGTTTATGTAGCTATTTATCCTTTGGCTGTTTAACTACAGATCGTGTGTACAGATCAACTTTTCTTTTTCAGATATGGCTTACTGCTTTCAATGCAAATAAGATCATTATCCAGACAAAGACAAAGATTTACACATTCTGAAACTTGTAGTCCTTTTGTCCCATGAATAATTTTGAAGATGGGTGATAATACTTTTATTTTATTGGACCATAGTGCTGGTTCTAGGAAGGAACATTAATAAAACACGATGACATTCCTTTAGTCAGACCCAGTCAAATACAGTAATGCTAAGCCAAACCATAAAGGTAAAGGTAAAGGTACCCCTGCCCATACGGGCCAGTCTTGACAGACTCTGGGGTTGTGCGCCCATCTCACTCAAGAGGCCGGGGCCAGCGCTGTCCGGAGACACTTCCAGGTCACGTGGCCAGCGTGACAAGCTGCATCTGGCGAGCCAGCGCAGCACACGGAACGCCGTTTACCTTCCCGCCAGTAAGCGGTCCCTATTTATCTACTTGCCCCCGGGGGTGCTTTCGAACTGCTAGGTTGGCAGGCGCTGGGACCGAGCAACGGGAGCGCACCCCGCCACGGGGATTCGAACCGCCAACCTTTTGATTGGCAAGTCCTAGTCGCTGAGGCTTTAACCCACAGCGCCACCCGCGTCCCAAGCCAAACCATGGCTTAGTGCAAATGTGCAAGCTCCTGGAGAGATCATTGCCACTTTGCTTCTCCTCTGGTCCTACTGTGGCTGCACTGCTGCGAGCTAAGGTTTGGCTTGGCTTGGCATGTCATTTTCAAGCTCCTGGTTTGTCTTCTCCAGACTGAGAGAACAAATATTGCTAACAGTGCATTATTTGCTATGAGCCTGGCTTCTGATGGCATGCTAAGCCAAACCACGGCTTAACTCATAGTAGCACAGGAGGAACACAAGGAACAAAACAATCTCATTCTATTCTCCTGGAGCCTGCACAATTGTAGATTAATATTAAAACACAGTTTAGCTTAATTGGAAGCTGGTTTAGTGTATCTCACTCCTGACTAGTGTGGCTGCAGCCTCTCATCCTTTCTCTTCAGCTGTACTTCCTTTGTGCATTGCTATTCATTGGCTGCTTTGAGAAACTGATGTTCTCCTCTGCCAAACTGGTCTTCGCATCATCATTTTAATAGCTGTTTCTTGAGAACCACAGTAGTTCTGGGTCTAATGGTCATGAGACCAAGAAACAGGATGAAGGCATGGGTGTAGAAAGGACTGGCCAAATTCATTGCTCTTTCTTGCTGTTTTAAATGATCGAGAGAATGGAGCAGTTCCCCTGTATGCAACAGTTACAACATTAGCTTTTTTAGTTTAGAGAAAAGGCGACTCAAGAGGCAACATGACAGACGTATAAAATTCAGGATGCTATGGAGAAAGATGGTAGAAAAAAGATTTTATTTGCCTCGCCTAATATTAGAACTCAGAGACATCCAGTGAAGCTGAATGTTGAAAGATTCAGGACAGACAAAATAAAGTACCTCTCTTTGCACAGCACATAGTTAATTAAACTCACTCCCACCACAGGCAAGTGATGGCCAACAACTTGGATGACTTTAAAAGAGTGTTAAGAGAAATTCATGGAGGGCAGGGTTATTAACCCTGATGGTTATGTTCTACTTCCAGTATCAGAGGCAGTATTCTTCTGAATACCAGTCGCTGGAAACTGCAGGAGGCGAGAGTGCTCTCGCACTCAGGTCCTGTTTGCTGGCTTCCCACAGGCATCTAGTTGGGCAAATCCCAAGCTCTATGTGGAAATGCTGCAGACTGATCCTAGGACCTTCTGCATGCAAGTCATATGCTCCTTCACCCAGGCACAGCCTTTCATGAGGCTTACTTGCAAGTCAGTGTACTTAGGACTGAAACACCCATAGGGCTGAAAAGGTTACAGCAGCATATACCAAAAAAATTAGTAAGCAGACAAAAAGGGGGACAGGTAAATTGTATGAGAAACTGATCCTCAGTGTTCACTTATGCAACAGTCCTCCCAGTTTCCTGGGAATAAGCCCCACTGAGCTCAATTGAGTTTACTTAGAAGGAAACCTATCTAAGGTTCATATTGTTACTGAGTTTGTTACTGATCGCAATCCTACGCATGTTTTCTCATAGGCAAGTCTACTCTGTTCAGAAACATCGCCCAAGGCCGGCCGCCTTAAAGGGCTTAGTAACAGAAATGAAAACCGCAGGCTGTATTCACACAGCTATCGCGTAATTCAGAGCCGCCATCGCCACAGATCAAAGAAAATAAAGCCTCTTCCCCTTTATAGGGCGCTTGCTGACGCCTCTAATCCCGAAACAGCAGTCGCAGAGACCAATTCCTCCCTATGAGCGTCGCTGGTGCCTCTAGTGACATGGCGGCAGCACAGGCCGGCAGGAAGCGTCTCACTTCCGTTTAGTGCTACGACCGCAAGGGCGCCGCTAACTATGCGGTTTCTGGTTGGCTATGCCTTGCGTCCAATGAGAAACCCGGTTGTTGGAGAGTACTGGGAAGAACCCCGCGCCGTAGGCTCCTCCCTTTCCTTTTTGCTATCGCCGTCGTAGAGAGCGCACGTCCAGAGGCCCGAAGTGAGTAGGCTTGGGGGGTTTCTTTTACTCCGCGCCCCCCTTTTTTGTAATGGATGCGTCCAGGACGCGCTTAGATTCCATCTCCACCGCCTGCCGTTCCGCGGGTTTATAAGCCGGGCAGCCCGGGTAGGCGATACCATGTGAGCCAGGGTGGAGGGGGTGACATGGCGGCCATGTGCTTCCTGATCCAGGTTAGGGAAGGCCCGGCTGGGAAGGAGAGGAGCCTGTGATCGTGGTGGTCTGTGACGAAAGGATGCGGAGGGCATATCATACCCTAGAAACAGCGAAGGCGAAGGGAGTGCTTTAGAAGCCTCCCGGGCAAAAAGGGCGAGTGGAGGTGGTGGGGAGCAGCCCCCCCATTCCGATTTAAAATAAAAATTTAGAGATTGCAACAAGTGGGTGAAGATGCTTTTTCGCCCTGGTAAGCGACCGTAGTGCATTAGGTTTTCGCATTTCCGGCTTGTTCTGGCGATGGAAAGTTGAAACTTAAAAATCTTAGCGGCATGGCGGCTTTGTCCGACGTGAATGTGGGAGTTGTGATGGTAGCACGTGTCTCCCGTGAGGGGGCTTATTTTTAGAAGGCCCTGAATTGAAATCGTTAATTTTTTTATAGCCCCCCTTTCCGCCCAAGTTAAATATTTAATTTGCAGTTGAGAGAACATATTGTGTCTTGTAATGTAAGAAGAGGCTGCCTTATACCAAGTCAGGCTGTTTGTTCATCTGCCAC